GAGGGCCCAGCGCCTGGGTCGTCCATGTCGTCGTCATCGTCGGGCCCAGCCCCTGCCCAGAATTCTTCGGTTTCGAGCGGGTTGGGCATCGGTTGCAGTCGTCGATAGGCCGCACACTCTTGTTTGGGCTGGTCGGGGTTCGCTAGATTCCATACCAGCGCGGCCCGATGCCAGGTTTCCATGTCCAGGATGTTCTTCATAAGATATACATCCCCCACCGATCTCACGGATCGATAGTCTTCTCCCGCCTCTGTCAGGAGCCACTGGGAGTCTTTCTCCATATCCTCCATCATAATTTCGTAGAGGCCATGCCATGGTAATATATTAAAAATTGTCGGGCGAGGGTGATTGGGGTGGACCAGGAGAGTCCGGACCGCCGTCATCACCTCCGTCTCGAGGGCGCTGTTCGGCGGACGACTCGGCATCCTTGGCCTCCTGCCTCTCTCGGGCGATGCGGTCGATCTCCCGGTTCCTTCTCCATCTTCCGATGTCGGAATCCTCGTCGCTGATCTCGGCCTGATAGGAGTTCCAGGCTCTTCGTCTGGCCTCAAGGTCGGTGCCTGCTCTTCGAGCGGCTCCTGAGTACCTGACTGCGGCGGCGTGAATACGGTTGTCAACCTCGGCATCGGTGGCATCGGGCTCGAGGGGTAAGTCCCACCAGCCATTGGGTCCCTGGAGGGCGTCCTCTTCGGCACGTCGAATGCGTGCATCGTGCGCTCTGCCTCGCTCCATTCGGGCCTCGATGTCTGGGAGCCCCCAGACATTTTGGGGGAGTCCGAGGGACTCGACGTACGTGTGGTAGAGGAGGGGCCATGGACGCTGGGAGGCCGGGACGGGAGTGGCAAAGGCTCGACCTGGAACTGACAGCTCCCAGTTGGAGACTCCGGCGAGTCGCTCGGAAGCGGTAAGTGTTCCAAGGTCCTCGTTGTCGAGGTCTGGGAACTCGCTCCAAAGCTCCCCACTCGTCGGCTCATGCGAGGGGACGGGGGAAGCGACCGTTGAGGTCTCGGACCCTTCAGAGATCGGGTCGGACTCTCTTCTGGGTGCGACTCGGGCCACAGCAGCCTCTTCCCTCCGGTCGGCGTAGACCCAACTAGTCCGGGGGTGCCAGCCAACTGGCTCTCCCCTATCGGTCAGCCAGGACCTTGGAAGAGACTGTGCGTTAGCTGAACTGGTGGTAGCCGCGGAGGCTCCGAGGCTAAGCTCTCCGGAATCGCTGTCGTAGTCATCCTCCTGGGCGACCCGGTATCTCCTACTCTCACTCTTCCAGACTGCATCTGTCCACCGATTTCCTGACCTGCCGCTGTAGTTGTCTCCGGTATAGGTTGCATCTTCCTCCGTGTTCGGGTAGAGGTCGTCGAGGAGGCTGTCGAGTCGGGTTCTCTCCCACTCAGAGAGCTCGTCCCCTTCGAACTCGGTATCAACCTCTTCTTCGCCCTCGACCAGATGCCTGGTGTTTTGTCCTCGGGCTCCGTCATCGCCAGACTCGCTTTGGACTGGAGACTGGTCGAAGAGACCTGGTAAGGGCGAGTCTCCTCGGTCGAGGAGTACCCCCCGGGTATCGGTGATGTTGACAGAGTCGGCTGCTGCGCTGGAAGCGCTTCTGTAGGAGTCGGTGCTCGACTCTGAGTATCGCGAGCTGGGTCGCGACGATGTGTAGAGGGATCCTCCAGGTTCCCCGGAGGCGTTGGATTCAACATCTTCTATCGTCTGCTGGGATGCCGAGGGAATGTGTATTACTGGTGGAGGGTACGCCGGGGTGCTGGGGACGTAGTGGAACGGTAGCTGTGCGCGGACTCGCTCCTGGCGCTGAAAGCAGCAGCATAGATGGTACAAAGTAATGGACAAGAAAAAGAATATAAAAGTCACGAAGACGGCGGGAATGGCGTCGGACCAGGGCATCCGTAATTGGATCTATCCTTGGCGTAAGTCGACGACAGACCATGCAAGCTGGTAAACAGCGAGTATGGTGAGGACGATGAGGAGTGCGATAATCAAGCTAAGGTCGGTCTCGTAGTTGGAACCGTTCATTAACACAATTTCGCAGTTTTCGGGATCGGAAGTGCTCGTCAATACTAACAGCAGAACTGTCAATATGGAGGCGAGCTGGAGGGCAAGGATGAAAGGTTTCGTGTTTTTAATGATGGCGTAAGAATCCGACCCAGAGGAGCAGGAGGAGTCCTGCAAACACCGGGGATGGGATATATACGCAGGCGAGGAATACTCGAAGGACGGTTATGACAACCAGTCCAAGAGGGTCGTTGAGGAGGAACCGTAGCACGGAGAGTGCCACGACAATTAAGAGAATAACAGGAATTATGTTGGGCAACGGTAAGCCGTTGGGCAACTGAAGACAAGCTTCGGCTAAATGTTAGCCACTAACTCAAATCAACTTAGATCGTGCTAAGGTCGCTACTCGCACTTCGGTAGACGACGCTTTAGCAAGTCAAAGGCAACATAAGTCGATGGGACAGAAAGTCACGAAGAACGGAGTTCGATGTTAGGTAGATTAAACCTTAGCCGAAGCTGGGGTTCAGACCAGCTGAGGCTCTACTTAAATACACGTTGGTATGCTAAAAATAGTACTGTGGGAGTCAGTCCGTGATGATCGCCTGCGCATAATCCGGCTGACTAAAGAAAAGAAAAGAAAAGAAAAGGAAAAGAAAAAGAAAAAAAAGAATAATCATAACACAGACGGTGCTTGTTGTTCGTGAGGTTCCTGTTGATGAGCCATTGAGCCCGTGTACTCTCCCTCTTCCGAGGGTTGGTGCTCTTTGGCAGCGGGTTGGTCGAAGGATATGAAGAACTGTGACTGCAGTTACTAGTGTCAAGATACTGAAGGTACTTCCGAAGATAATGGCGGTGCAGTCTGAGGGGGTGAGCGGCATAAAGTTCGTTGTACCACAACGAATGTTTATGATCTTGGGGGATGGTGGGTGCTGTTTTTCAAATAACAGGCTGAAGGTTTCTTTTTCTTTGGAGGTATAACAGTGACTGCCTTGAAGTGGTACAGTTACTGTTGACAATGGCAAGGGTAGTAAGGGCAAGCTTCGGCTAATTGTTAAGCACTAACTCAAACCTTTACCAAGGCTGATCTCTATCCTGTCACTCGCGTTCAGTGATTCAGTGTTAGAGAGGTGTCGGTAGATTGCGAGGAGTTAGGCATCACTTTATAGCAAAAGCAAGGAGCTTGTAAGAGTTAGGAGTATATAACCTTAGCCAAAGCTGGGGTCTAAGGCCACAGCGTAGGCTAGCTTAGATACATGTTAGACTTGTACTAAGAATAGTGTCTACAAGGGCATGTGCAGTGAGAAGTGCACCTTTCAACGAATGAGGAGGGAGGACACTAAAAGAAGTGTACTCCTGACAAATGAGAGTAAAGAGCGCATATCACCTGCATCTGCGTGGGACTCTGTCTGAATAGGCTGCATCCTGTAGACCACCCTCGACTGGCGGTCGACTCTCATCCAACTACTAAGAAGCATGATGCCATCAAGAGAAGCATGATGGCACATGCGGGTCGCTGGTCATATGGGAGGCGGCAGCATGAACTGGGGTGACAGCAGCCGGGTAATCGGGTAAAGAGTGTGCTGGTGGAGTATTGTGGGTCCAAGAGATAAGATAGGTAGGTCCGGGGTTCCGATGGATAAGGATAAGATAAGATAAAGAAAATAGGGGTAAAACCATAATATGAAGTTGAAGGCACGTGATAAGCAGAAGATGGCAGAGGCAAGGGCTGAGATGATTTTGAGGGTGGATGTCAGGCAGCTGGCACACATGGACTCGAAGGACCCACAGGAGATCTGGGGGAACTTGCAGACTGTGCATCATGCACAGGGCTTTGCAATGAGCTTGTCCTTGCGAAGGAAGTTCTTGATGGCAAAGATGCTTGAGGGCCAGGGCATGGAGGCTTGGGTTGGGAAGATCAGGCAAATGGTGAAGGCGATGGAACTAGCCGGTATCGACATCAGCGACCAAGACTTAATCCTCACGCTCACCATGGGACTCCCCCCTTCCTACGAAAATGTCATTATCAACTTTGATGCGACCTCTCCCGACCAGCTCACACTCTCGAACGTGATTATTCACTTGCTGGACAAAGAAATGCGCCAAGCGTCGCTTGCTCCTGAACATTTGGAGAAGGATAAGGATGGGATAGGTGATGATGATGAAGTTGCGGCGGTCACCTTTCACGGTGGCAAGGCATCCAGGGGCCTGAAGGGAAACAGTCAAGTCAAGCTCACTTGCTTTTTCTGCAATAAGGCCGGGCATTTGAAGGCGGATTGTGAGGAGAGGGTGAAGTGGCAGAAGTCAAAAAAGGGGAAGACTGTGGCGGCGGACTTCGCCGGGTTGGCTTATGAGAGTGACTCCGATGTCACTTTCTAGGTTACTCTTTCCCACCATGGTGTTCACCTTCCGGGGGTGTACATTGTATGTTTTCTCCTCTCATTTTTCTTTTCTTTTCTTGGGATTGATGCACAAACTTGTGGGGGTGTGTTGGAATGTCAAGTGTCGTGCATCATGGTGCAGTCGATGTTGGGATCTTCAGTAGGAAGCACTGTTCATCTGTTCTCCTCCTCGGCTTTCCTTATTACATCATATTGCTTCTATTAGTGTACACGGCATGTAGATAAATAGGTAGACGAACAACGATGACCCTCGCCTGTTTGTGAGGGTTCCCTGCTATATCCGGGTGAGCGGCTGGAGAATTACTGCTTATCTCAACAGTTTCTCCTTTCTCATGTCCAGAAATCGACATTCTTATTTCCATTCATGTAAAATTTCAGATGTCGACCCCATCTCAGGGAGCTCCCATCCCCCTGATACCATTCCTTCCTCGTTACAATCCCAGATCATTCCAGATAGCACAGCTCCTCCAATCCAACGAGATGCCATTGCCACAGGAGCTGTCCGAACTTCAAAGGACCGTCGCTGAGGCACCGCAAAATATCATTAGTCTCAGAGAGAGGATCGAGGCAGCATAGGCATTCCTAAATGACCTAATCTCACAGCAGTCATATGCGTCCGATGCACTAAATGATGCTAGATTTATCACCCATTCTCCCTGCTCTCTCCCCAAGGACGTGCTATTGGAGATATTTTATCATTGTGTCAATGAAGTTGTGGAGGCATTACATGGGGGACAAACTCGTTGTGTTTTGCATCATGATGTTGCACCATTGTCATTATCTCAAGTATGCCAACGCTGGCGACGTGTAACCATTCAAGCGCCTCTTTTATGGCGTTGTGTATCTGTTAACTTGGCTAACCACTATGTCACTGAAGAACATCATCCTGGCGCTCCCTACGCTAATCACGATAATGCTCAGAGCTCATATCTTCTCTGCATTTATCTCCAAAGAGCCCATCAGGTTCCCCTTCACGTATGCATCTATGGTGGCAGTAAATTTTCCCAAATCGCTTTGATTCCACCTCTTCTCTCCACATCCAGTGCTTGGGTTGAGCTCTCCCTTCTGCTTCCCCTCTCTGCATATCATCAAATTGTCACATGTCATAGATTCCTTGACCGTCTCCAGTTCCTGCAGCTGTCGGTCAATGATCACCCTAATTTTAGCGGAATTGTTGCCCTTACTGAAGCTATATCAGTATTTTCCATAGCTCCCCAATTACGAGAGGTCCGCTGTGAGGATCTTCATAATGCGTGTAACTTTTTCGTTTTCCCACCGAATCATGTCAAAATATTCTCCTCAAGGGTGGATCACAAGGAGGTCCTCGCGTCTTTGGCTGTTATGGATCTGCTGAAATCCAGAGATGCGAGCACAAGGCGAGGAGTGGTGATCAAAGTGAGGTAAGAGTAATTAGGAATGATGTACGTCGTTAGGGAATATAATGGATTCTGGTGAGGGTTCATGAGGAGACCTGAGTGGTCCGGTTTGCGAAATATAGGAAATCAGTAAGCGCCAAGCAATTACTGAGAGAAGTGGCCGGTAAGCATGGAGCAATTACCAATATAGAAAGCCTGTAAGCGCGAAGCTATTACAGGCTGAGGGTGAAGGCAAGTGCTAAGCGTAACCTTCAGGTTGGTATTGGAAAGCACTAGGCATATCCAACGAGTTGTTCAGCAAGCGCTAGGCATAACTGAGGGTTCACGCAGTGAAGGTGTCCTTAAAGTAGTAGATTGGTAAAAGCCTTCTAATACAATGTTACCTATGAGTTTATATACTAAGGAAAGATTAGAGTCATTATTATTCTATAATGTTCCATAATATTCTAGTATCAATACGAAGAATAGAGAAAGTAAGAGAAAGTACGAGTGAGTCACTACTAGGACCGAGAAGGCCGAGTTCGGGCATGTGTTGACTCATGCACCGAATCAGTGGATACCCAATATCCATGACATTGGCACTTGTCCCAAACGTGATGGATCTCTCCCTCCATTGCTATGTGGATTCATTTCCCCGGGAGCTATATAGGCATTGGACTGCACGTGGTCCAAGTCGCATTCCCCCCAACCTGTACCAAACTCTGGACTCAGTAACCTCTCTTCATATGCATCAACATGTTAATGGGCCCCAGGCATTGGGGTGTCTCTTCTCAGCTCTCGACCTGCCTTCCCTGAGTTATCTCCATTTCCATTTTGACAATTACGTGCAAGGCTATGATTTACCTATCATCTCCGAGTCCAACCAATGATATGCCTGGTATCAGGCTACCCATAGATTTTGCGATTTTACATCAGTTTATGCAATCTACAAGCGGTACAGAGAGCTACAGTGGAGGCTTCACGCTGGTAGCTAAATACTACATAAAGAATGAAAGCATGGCAGTACAGAACAGACTTAGAAATGACATCTCGAAGAGTCAATTCTACCAGCCATCAACACGCCAAGCTAAGCCCTACCTAAACAAGACTATTACAGTCAAATCTTGGGGACTCGTCTGTATGGAGTATAAAAACCAAGAAGTTGAAGAATGGAATGAACTAGATGCCTTGTCGCCTCGACGAGTAGAAAGAACCTGTCAGGAAAAATTGCTAAGTCGAGAAACAGATCAGCTTTCGAGATCAACTCAGGCTAGGAAAGGAATAACCTTGGAAGAATGAATAGCTGCATTGGGTACCGAGATGACCGACCTTGATCACACAGTGATCAACAGAATACAATCTCGGACCTGCAGTCAATCGCAATCGGTGGTTACATCCTCGAGATCCTGCGCATACCGCAGTATTCAATACATACGGTGTGTGGCAAGCCTTGCAGATGGAAGAAGGAGCACCCACAGACTAGTAGGGCACTCCTCAGTGACAGAATAACCTGGCGCAGTCGTGTCAAACTGAATAGAAACTACGGAATGGCACGATACTTGTAGGATAGTGACTCACCGTTTGTATTAATTCCAAAGCTCGTACCATAATTACTGTAGATACGGCCTCCTATACCTAGAACACGAATCGTATAAATTAGCAGCAACTAGACGCATAATGGCAGGAAAGCATTCCCCCCATGTTTGTGCTAGTAGCCTGTATAGCTACCTAATCAATCACTGGTTTTATTGCATATTCTCGACTGAAGTGAATTAAGTTACCAAAGTCAACCCATAAGGGCGACTACAGTAATCTAGAAGAGTTAAGTAGGAAGTAGAGCTGTCCCCATGTTTGTGCCTTGCTAGTTAATTGAACTGCTCTGTGGACAAAGGCCTCATGCTCTCTCTCTCCGAGATTAGCGATCTAGATGTGCTGAGTCAACTTTAAGTCAAAAGACCTCATCTAGTTGAAGTAAAATAAGCCCTAGAACGCTTTAAGTTTAAACAATCGTCGAGTTCAAGGAACTCCAGAGTTTGTGTACTCTTTGCAAGTCTCGTACTTGAAGTCAGAACCTGTGCATTCTTTGTAGAGTGATTTCACACTCTTTGTAGACCTCGGAGTCTTTGGTTGTTTGATTATTTGAAGTGTCCGCTAGAAGCTCTTCTAGACAACGTCAAAATGAGTATAACTTGCTCAACTATACCTTGCAAAACAAGTTCATAAAACCCCGCTATTGCGGACTAGTGTACTTTGTGTAAAACACATCGAAAGAAGAATTGAAGTTGTTTTCAGACAAAACCCCACTAGATTATCTAAATCTAAGTACATCACGAGTGCTTCTATCATACTCACCCTCGAACTTATATACATTGGTGATAGTGTGTGTGTGTGTGTGTGATTTAGTATCTAGATTGACGATCTAGACGCTTGTTTCATTTGCATGCTGCCCATTACTGAGCACATCACTGACACACTGTCACCACCCTAGAGCTTACCAGCCACCTCAAAATCGAGCAAAGTACACTTTCTATCTACGACTTTCTGCGCTCGTTCCTCAATCTCCGTCATCTCATTTTATGAATCAAAGATGTACCTGCAAGTTTGTACATCTTATTGACATACCATGGACATCCTAATATTCCCAATCCAAGTATACTCCCATGCCTCGAGATTCTCGAGCTACCCATTACGGATATTGACAACTGAATTTTTCAACGGTTTGTCGAGATGGTCAGGTCATGCTCAGTAACGAAATTTGGATGTGATGATCATCAACCAGGTGATCGACTGACTTGTACGAGGCTAAAGGAGGTCCAGGTGGGATTTGGACAAGTGGTCGTTGGGCGGTACATGGTGTGGCATAACAACCCGGGCCACAGTGCATGGCTTGATGAAGCAGTTGCTGATGGCCTCATCCTTCACAACAGAGAGGCTGTTTCTGAGGAGCGACTGCTTTCCGTTGATGCCTTCGGGCGTTGATATTGAACAAGGAAAGTAATGACTTTTTCATCTCTTTATCTATGTTATGACATACTAAAATTTTCCACAGATTATAGACTCGAATTCCTGGAGGACTGGTTGCTGCATGACTCGCCTCAAACCCCTTGCATTATCTTCACCCAATTCCATTAACTGAGGGAAATAGAAAAGGATGGTCCCTTGCTTAACGTTGTGATCAGGAAAGTTCTCTAGCATCATTATTTTGAATAAATGTACTGTGTACTTTCTACAGGATTTGGAATCAGTGCGATTAACCAACTGCAATACTGAAGTGCTCCAGCGAGCTGGATAGCAAGGACATGTCGCTCACCAAGATGAAATGATTCCTGAGCCTCCGTCCCTCCAGCACAATTGTTCCATGACCCAAGGAATAAACACAACTTGAGCCAGCCATGTACATCAAGAGTTTTCAACCCCAGAACAGAACATGATTGGTGCATATTATCCAGAGTACGAAGAAATAAAGGCATGACATTAAGGTAACAATCAAAGGTTAAGAAATGAAAAGGCCGAAAATGGCGCATACATAGTAGTCCATAAAGCATAGGTAAACAGAACATAAGAAATGACATATCTACATAGTCCATAAATAATCCATTAGTCGTGGGGATCATCAATGAGAGAAAGTAAGATAAAAAAACCCGGCTTCAACTCCTTTGTCCACCTACGAAGATTAATCGTCATCTATCCATATTGGATTTTTGAAATGAGCCTTCGGTTCATACTTATTTCCGATGTTATGCTCATGTACAGCCTCCATCCGCATTCGAACACTGCGGTGGACTTTAACTCTACTGGATGAATTTGGGATCTCTCGAGGCCGGCCAAGGTTTATGCTATGAAAACACCATTCAGCTACATAACGAAACATGAAAACCCCGGCACGTACCGAGACCAGGACACCCTGACCCACTTGTCATTCACCATCTGTTGTATGAATTCTATCGGCAGTAACTCGAGAATCCACCAAAACTTCGAACGTTTGAGCTGGTCATATATGGGAGACAGTGCATTGCGAAGTTCCTCCTCCTCCTCTGTCCCGATTGGCAGGCACTGTTCATCATTCATTGAAACACTCGGAGCTTCAGGAGCTAGGGTTTGATGCTTGTCAGGAGCATCAGGCAGTGTTAGAGGGTGGCGCCAGAATGTAGATAGGATCCTCTTGAAGAGTGGTTTATTCTTTGGTTCGTTTTGTATCATAGCAGACCTCACTGACAGTGCTTGTGGTCGTGGCTTAACGGAAGGATACAAGGTTGCAGGATCGATGCCTATTTCTCTGAGGTGATCAGAATCGAACATGATTCCTGTTTCCACTTTGAAGCACTCTCGAATCATCCATTGCAATGTAATTCGTGCCAAAGAATAGCGCATTGAGTTCTTCATGGAACCTCCCCCTACATCTGTTGCAAAACAGTTAGCTGCCGATATTCATTGGTGATGGAATGAAGATAGATACCGCAATGACATCCCTTAGCAACAGGGAGACAATTCAATGAGGCATATAGGTCCCTTTTCAGGCAGAAAACTCACTGCAAACCATACTTCCTCAACATCAGTTGACCTCCCATTATCCGGATGCCATTCAATCCCAGACTCCATTGCCAGCTCCATCTCTCTGTGCATCATCCAATGCCATAAGTTTGCTTTGAACTTTGCTCGATGCTCATCCAATGAGACTGTGTGGTGGAAGGTCCGAATAATTGTATTGGAGACTGTAAAGGGTAATTGTTTAGGAATGAGCCCTACAGAATCAATGGTGTCCCTGTTGTTCATAAGCACTTGCACAAGAAAGGCCCATGCCAGTATGCACCATACCCCTATGAACTCGATTGGAACATCCATGCAAAACGCTTTTTTGAAAGCCTTGGATTGGTTCCAACCAACAGGATCCTTCCGGGTGTACATCTTGTATGCAAAGGGAATTTGTTGCCAATTATCTGGTGCAAGCAGGCCTACTTTGTGAATCATCCCTGCGAGACTGGCCATGTAGAGTCAGCAGACTGATATGGAATATGAAACAGTGATTGGTTTTCCTTACCTTCTAGCAGTGTACACACCACGTGAGAAGCCAAAGATACATATGCGGTCACCAGCATGATCTAAAAATATAGTCAGTACCGGCTCGAGATTAATGATGAACAGAGACGCACAATTTTGCATTAAGAATTGATAACCATCTGTCCATGAAGCATTGATAACCATCTGTCCACGAAGCATTGGTAAAAGGGGAAATTAACACGTATGGCAGATTGGCATACCCATGATATGAACATCCAGACTACACACTATCATTAAATCAATGGTCTACCACGATACAAGGATCAGCCCTTGAAACAAGGGAAGGAAACGGATGCTTCACACCTTGTATACTTTCAATGTGAGAAGGCCGGGAATTTGAGTCGGTGTGTAGGTACCAATTCCTGCCTTAAACGTGCATTAATTAGCTGAGTACAGAGTCGTTGTTCAGAAAGTACCTGATAATAAACCATTTGCTGTGAGCGGTCATCTTTTCTCAGCAATGAACAGAGTTGTACGATATTTGAATTATCAGCATGGAACTGGTCCCCAGTACCGTCAAAGCAGAGAACCAAAGTACATGAATCGTGCTGTGGAGGAATCGTTGTTGGAAAGTCTTTGGGGACAGAAGGTTCAACAGTTTCTTCTGGATCAACTGCAGTTTCTGTGATGGACGTTGATGTTGATATGCACTCATGATGAGGGGCGTACGCGTCAGGAATATCCAGAGTGGTCATGAGTGAATAGAGTGAGGGAAATATTGGGAGGTCTTCATCAGAACAGCCAGGACATTTATGAAGAATGTTAAGTGCTGGAACAGTATCATAATTGAAGAGATCAAAAGGGCGGTGCAATACAGCAGAGGGGAAATCTTCAGGAACAGATGAATCCACAGCTTGACGTTTGGGTTATCAAGCTTGCTGGCATGCATGGGAGAACAATGGAACTGATGGTATAATCCATCGGAGGGGTACTCGGTGAGAACACTGCTGCAAGAGTTCTCTGGGCAGGGCCTTGTAACATTTAAATGCTGATACTCAAAGAGGCATGTAAGTTCAGAAAAGCAATTGTATCTCCACTTTATCCCATTGACATTGGGCATCCATCGCCCACTCTACTGGGTGATCATCGTTAAAAGTGGTCTTTCTACAACTGCTGGTGCACATGGTCAACATGAAAAAGGGATTCCATTGTGATGAGCAACATCGTCGGTTGACCCGCTCTCGACATGTTTGAGATGTCGAGCATCGGCGGTGAGCTGTATTTTGCTTGTTATTCAGTGTGATACGCACAGAGGCAAACAATATACCAACGTCCCGCTACTCATCCTGCGACTGCACCGCAAAATTGAACCTGCTCACACAGCTCCATGTAAAACGGTCTCCATAACATCGACCACGCATTGGTAGTCTATGTTGCCCCATAAGACGATTTGCGGCTGAAGGCAATTCATATAAATGCCAGATGTTACCTGTGAAGAATGATGTTCAGTGCGTATTAGCTTTCCACAATCAGGTTTAAGTCACCTGTATCCATCTGAACCTGCTGCCATTCCTTCATAAGATAGCAAGCATAGTGTTATTCTTGAACTGTACAGTTGAGTAAGAGATTCAGAGGAGTTCGAAGTGCTGAATCTGGCGATGGACATAGCATCATCTTGATCGAACTAGAAAGGAATTCTCGCCCCACACCAATTGGATAAGAGCCGGGTTCAAAGGGAACAACAGGATTAGGTGTATCATCGATAAATCCGGTTTAAGCTTATAATCGCACCGGATTTTAGGTCAAACACAGACTGAAGCAGTCAAAGAGCGGGGGCACGTACAGGAATGATCAGGAACAGGGAGACAATGCGTTTCAGGACCTGATAAAGGTCTCCTGCTTGCCTTCGACTTGTCCATAAATGAAATGAGCGGCTGAGGAGAGCTTCGCAAAAGAATGGACACCTTTCAATTGATAATTTAGTTCCTGAAGGAACTATGGTCCTGTGATGGTGACAAAGCTCCCCCGTGACATTCGTATACATGAGAAGGATGATGCAGGGGTAGGTTGTCGAAAGCATCTTTTGATGGGTTAGATTAAGGTAAGAGATTGTTACAACAGTAACAAAGTGTTCATCTCTAGATCTACTAGAGTAGATATCTCTCTCGTGAACTTCTGGATCTTCTCAGGAAGTTTAACATATGCACGTACACCTCAGGATTAGCACGTACACTGTGGAATTCTCTCCATACGATCTCTCCATCATGACTTCCCTTCCAACGCACTGAAATATTTATGTCCACATGGACGGGAAATGTAATACCTTCATCAAATTAACATAGATATTGGAGTTGTGATGACGAGAATATACCTCTGGCCAAATTCGAGTCCAATCGGAGTCCCAGTTTTTCAAGGCAAGGAAACATCACCGGCTGACAAGAAATCGACATGAAAAATCTCCGGATAGCCCACATCAATATGGCCAAGATTTTCAACAATCATGAGGTCGAAGTCATGGGGTTAGGATGATTATCTGGAAAAATGGGTCAGCGAAGGGCCAGAATCTTAAAATAAATTCTGCATCACCGGAAGTTTGAGATTCGGGAAGACTTGTGCCAAGGCACCAAGATCTGTGTGCTGTTATCACCAGCTCAGATCCAGACCTCCTTTAACATGAGATAGCTCCACAATTCAGTTGGAAGGTTGTTAAATCGGGGACCCATTAGGAATAAGGGTGATGATTTCAACGAGTAGTGGACTCAACACTTTCCGATCTGCCTCTGCGGAAGCCCAAGATGTCGACGTCGGTCGCATCAAGGAGACCTCATCGATAATATCCAGATCACGTGACCTTTCAGCATCGAGCTGATCATGTATAGCAATTTCCTGAGTTCGGGTGCAGGATATGTCAAAGGAGAGCTCTATCTCCCAGCACAGGTTTGCCGTAGTCAGCATTATCACTCTCCATACATCATTAGCTGTTGATATTCTCTGTGGAAGCTATCCTTCAGACAAAGCAGGTCGCAAAGATTTAACGTAATTATTTTCTTGAAGGCGATGCATACAGTGGAGATAGAAGCAGAAAAAATATAGCTAAATGATGGTGAGTAGGCCGTAGCGCAGACGGTAGCATGTAGATGCATTCACCTCCAATAATAATCCGTACTATTATCCTCTGCGAAGTGAATATCATTTGAAGAGAGGTATTGAGCTACAAGTAGCTCCATGTGACCACGAGGAGGATGGTTCTGCCAACATCCCTGATGAGCTAATTATGTGCCTGTATACTTGATACCAAGGCAGATTAGAATTTGTGCTGACATTAGAACCATATCTACAAGACGTTAGCTTCTGATCTTGCATGAACATGGCGATCAGATATATGTAGCATGAATCCTCGAACCTTTCTTGGGTCAAGTTCAGGTGATCCCGGGAGATGAGCATGGTCTCCTTCAGTTAAGCCTGAGATGAGTATTATAACAGCGCTATGAGAAGAAACGTATGCAAAATAGACTTCGATTGCAGATAAAAGTCCAACCAATGCTTCTGATATCCTTGTAAACAAGAGTTACACTGGTGACAGATAATGTTATCCAAGAAAATAGGTCGATGCCCCAGTAAGCTGTGAGCCTCAATTGTATAGATGCCAAAGGCAATAGTCTGCTGCAATGAATAGGCAGACGAAACATTGACCTTTCCGGTATGGTAGGATTTATAGCCAATGCAGGCAGTTCTAAACCCAGGAGGGTGCGTATCACAGAAAACTCCCATAATCGTCTTCAAGGGTGGCAGCGGTTCGTCATCAGGAAGGATAATTGAATATCAAATTGCTTGCTGCTTTCAAATACCCTTTGCCACCGGCATGCCATTCGTGCGTCGTCTATTGGTATATTCCAGGGCTGCAGCTGACTGTCAAACCAGGTTGCTTCTATCTTTACACACGTATCACAGTTGAAAGCTGAAGAAAGCCATCTGTCTTTTCGCCTTCAAGAGGGATATGCCACAATGCCCTTGCCCCTGAAGGATGAGATACACCTCGTCCTTAGAGGAAGAACATGAATGTATTGAATGCTTTGGTGAAAATGAGTGTCAGGTCTATGACGAATGATTGATCCCCCACTGACTGTTGAATGACTAATTCCCATTTGATTTCATGTTACCTGGTTTTCATAGCACAAAAATGAGCTTCCGGTATGGATGTAAAGCAGCGTAAATGCACCACAGTTAGCATGTATGCAACTCAGCTGACCCTGCTGAGTTTCAATGGGCTCCTGAAATATACTGATAAGTGATCTTCGGAGAAGGTAACAGCGACAAACGGCTTACCACTGTGCTGTTGCTTCAACGTTGGTTTCACAAGTATGAAAGTGCCAGTATCACCTGGCAACAGAGACACATGTGGGAATCCCGGTCCTTTTTTACCGAGAGTATAGCTGTGAGACGATACAGAAAAGTTGAGTTGAGGCAAAACTTTCAAATAACTGCAAGATGCACGTACTGAGTTTCGCTTGCACTTGGGCTAGGGTACAAAGTAGCTGAAAGTGTTATGGACACTACAGAGAAGAATATGAGATATCAGGCGCTGGGGAGTCCACATAATGCTTTCATCTTTGCGGCTGTGATGGCCGTAGTGGTTATCATCAAGGAAATGAGAATGATCGGCCGTGAGTTCTCAAGGTCCAAATTCGGTCTGAATCTCTCATGCTACCTCGGGACATAGTCGGGATGCTTGCTCAGACGTGCCCAAGCCCACATCGTATTCCACAATCCTTCTAGCTTAGAAAACAGCATTAGGGACCTTTTAATACTGTCAAGATACCCCGAAAATTATTTTCCTTGCCATTGACATCTTCAATCCTCGTATCATGCTTCGAACACTGTACATAGCGATTTCTGACAAAATGATACTTCGTGGTACCAGCATCCCTCGCTTCTCCCAATAAGCAGAGTACTAACATGACAAAGGAGTCTCACAGCCTGTTCCTGGCATTACCAAGGCAATATAGCCTGTTTCACATCTGCTAACGAACGGATATGGAGCGAAACCAGAATTATCAGTATGGGGGAAGAAGTGTGAGCTTCCGGTGTGAAAATACAAAATATTGCGCATGAGGAAGGCTCTGCAGGGAAAAAGAAACTTAAAGCAAGATGATAATGGATGTCAACAATGCGGACCGACTTCCGAGAAAACTGGAAAACTGGATTGATTGGCCATCTCCGCTGATACAGCTCAGGTAAATAGAAGTAAACTACTCCTACCGACCTCGAGAGTCATATGCACATGCTAAAGCCAGCCCGAGTATTGCTGAAACAATTTATTGTCGGCCATCTCATTAGCCACTTCCCCTCTTCAACTTTCTAAGTTATTTAATTTTGCCACCCCCTGTCGTGACACCACCTCTATCCAATGCTAGGATGAAAGATTTTCTTTTTCCTAATTTGCAGCGCATTATCAGCTATGGAGTTCCAGACTCCCATGGCAATCTTTCCCTTTCAGACAACGCTTCCAGACAAGATGTATATCTTCAAGGGTAAGCTATACCCAATTTTCATTTCCATGCGAAGACACTCATATTATCTTCGCAGCTTTGTAGCCTCAAGTCATCCGCAGCCACCTTGACATTTTGTATGCCTAGGACTGTAATTTCCTTTTTGCTTTCTCCACTTCCTCGAACGTGCAGTGATCTCTTCATATCACAGTTATACCCCAGTGAGAAGGCATGCAGTACAAACATATACTGACTCCGATGGTTAT